GCAAGGCAGCGGTGTTTGGCGGGAAATACAAATGCATTCCCATTTCTACGGAACAAGTCGCCACATGTTCCAACCCCCAACCTGGAGGGCCAGGAGACTGTGTTCGTCAGTCCTCTAACCATTGACCAACCTGGTGTGAGAGACTCTGTGAGTGTCGCGGGACACTCTCCAGTATAGCTCAATGGATCACTGAGGTGCGCAAACCGTCACACGTCCAGTCTCTCTTCCACGAACAAAACCCTACATCCTCTCACTGTCATGTTGGTCAGACTTTTGAGACGAAGGCTCAAGGTGGGGTACCTCAACCAAACCTCCCTCATTGGCCTGGGCAACCGGGAAGTATCATTCACCCGCACAGTTCTTTGTCCACCGATTTCTCTAGCCCAAACCCTTCCCACCACACAAGCAAACGTCGATAAATCATTTGACCATCAGTTGCCTGACCGATGAACCTTATGCTCCCTGCTGGTAAGTAGTACTGTCCTCTACGGTAAGACTGTGAAGGCAGTAAAGTGTTTCTCCAAGGCGACCATAATGTTCATATTCATGGAAGCAATGATGTCAGCCCCCGAGAAAGCGAGGGTTAGAATAGGTTGGCCCTAAAAGCCGAACACTCCGATCGCCCAACGGCTGACCGTGATCGCCGGAGTATTATTCAATACGGTTGAAACACTTTTAGAACCAAAGAGTCCAGTGCCACTCAAAAGGCACCTGATGTGCGCAGCCGCATCAGGTGTGAAACAGTAATGCCCGACTCTCTGCGCCCTCAGGCCAAACCGACCCCCTACAGCCAAGTAGGCCAGACTAACTAATTCTGCCTCACGGTTTGGTATGCGCCTCACACCTGCAAAGTGCAAAGTGCTGCTGCAACTCAGATGAGCCGATTGAGGTATTAGACAAGTTCATCTACCTGGGTAGCAGTATCGGTCCCGTTAGTTTCAGTCATCGGCCCCAGGAAGGGTCCCCAAAGAAAACCCTATTGTCCACTGCCTAGTCAGTCAGACTTTTGAGACAAGCGTTCAAGGCGGGATACCTCAACCAATCCTTATTTCCCGGCCGCAGTAACCTAAGCAGACGAAATACCTCTTCCCGAATATGATAATATTACAATACAGACAACATTAAACAACTTAACTAATTCTGTCTCACGGTTTGGTATGCGCCTCACACCTGCAAAGTGCAAAGTGCTGCTGTAACTCAGATGAGCCGATTGAGGTAGTAGACAAGTTCATCTACCTGGGTAGCTGTATCGGTCCCGTTAGTTTCGCGAAAGATGATATTTTCACCCGGGCTTGGGAGAGCCAGAGCAGCCTGCATCAACCTGCATCACTTGTGGCGTAGGCGTGACATCCGCTTATTCGCCAAGGGTCAAGTTTAGAAACGATGCGGTGCGCCCCATATCATTACACGGATCAGAAGCCTGGCCGCTGCGCGCTGTGGACATCGAAAGACTTCCCGTGTTTGGCCATCTATTTCTCCGGAGCGCTGCCCGAAGACCAGTTATCCTGAAGTGCGCCGAATGGTTTTCGAAAAAAATAACTCGCCAACGACAGGTGAATTGATCACACTCCATAGGTTGCATTGGCTGGGCAATGTGCTGCGCATGCTGGTCGACCGACTTCCGTAGAGAGCTTATTTCACACGACTATGAAGGGTGGAAACGAGCCAGGGAAGGTCAAGTAGTGACTCGGAAATGAAACATGAAATCCACTAACAGGTAACTCAGTTGCACTGGTCATTGCCATCTCCCTTGATGGGGACCCCGAGACGCGACATATCAATGGTTACAGACATTGTCAGATATGGCCCAGTCACGCCCCCAACGACATTCGCGCATCCAACCTCCCCGATTAAAAGCCTATTGACAACTCTGTATTTACAAATCAGTCAGATCAGCTACCGGCTCCAATGCGTAGCTATCAACCTATCCCTCCCAGTCATCGGTGAACGAAACTGTGGCAGCTAGGACCACTGTACGACAAGTGCGCGGTTCTTACAACTGGTGATGCTGAGCTTGTGTTTTGGGTGAGTGAGGGTAAGGACTGAGGTGATCCTGAGTTACCATCATTGTGTCCGGTAACAATCTAGCTGAATTTAAAACTCCCAGTACGGAGATCCATCCTCATTCTGCTTAAGACTCCAATTCGTCTCACCCATACCCAACAGACGGGGTCGGTCGTCTCCGTGCGGTATGATCACCGTAGGATAGCGAAGTCTAATGCATAATCAAAATTCCCTCATATGAGCCAAAATAATGCGGTGGATTCATGTAAGTCCCAATAAGTGTGCTTGTTCAATACAACGGCCTATTTAGTCATCGCCATGCCAAACTGATTCGTAACACCGTTGGGATGCATTATCATATGCGAAAATGAAGGGTCGGAAATACCAAACAGGAGGGCAGGCGGCAGTTGTAAAATCAGGCTATACTGAGTGAAGATGGAAAGCGGGGCTCTCTACAGTATGCCAGTCAGCTTGTTGAAACATACGGCAGTGAAGCATCAGTGGCAACACTGATGCTGCTGTCCTTGAGGATGATGATGATGATGATTGTTGGAACAGGTTGGTGATTGAATGTGACATTGTACGCCAGAAAGTGTCTCCAAAGATCGATTGGCGTTGTCGCCTGATCTCCAACCCGCTAAACGACATCTAGCAACTTTACCTATTTCTACGGTTTAAGCCCTCCGAAATCGTCAACATTATCCACTAACCACCACACTTTTGTTTCGAGTTTGATAAGTGAACAATGCCAGAAGTGACAGCCGCTCTCTTGGCACTCGGAAAAAAGCAACCACTGCGTGCTAGAAGCCCAAATCCCATGCTTCCAGATGAACAGATTGATGGAGTTGATAAGTTTGTTTACCCTGGAAGCTGCATAAGTCCCGGTGGTCTGGCGAAAGACGAAATAGCTTTCCGAATTGCGAAGGCCAGGGTAACTTTCGCCAACTCCCAACATTTGTGGCGCCAACGTGAGACCAGCCTGACCGTCAAGGGGAGAATGGTATAATATTTGTTCAGCTGTAAAACCCGTTCGGTGCCTAGCTGTCATATCACGCGAAGGAAGCACGGGGCTGGCATACTGCCAGGTTGCCCAAGCTTAGAGAGGAGATGCAGAGGTCGGATTCGAACCACTGATCTTCCGGCCAGTAAATTCGTGCTCTACCCACTGAGCCATCTCATCCCCAAGAGGCAAAATGTACAATGTCGCGACCCGATCTGTCCTAATTTATAGGCCGAAGGTGTGGCTGCTGAGTGTGAAAGACCGAAGTGCTGTGCGTTCAGCTGAAAAAAGCGTTCAGCTGTAGCACCCTTCCGGTGCCTAGCTGCCATGCCACCCGAAGGAAGCACGAGGGTTGGGATACTGTCAGGTTGCCCAAGCCTAGACAGGGGAACTCGAGTGGCGGAGGTCGGATTCGAACCACGGACCTTCCGGTCAGTAAATTCGCGCTCTAACCACTTGGGCCACCTCGCCCTACAAAGTGCTGTGGTTCCAGCTGCTATTGTTTTGTTCGTCTAAGGTAAGTAGAATAGGGAACTGAGAACCATATGTTGGAGCCGATGACTCAATCTGTGCAAGAAATAGATCTGCTTGTCCAGTATGGCAGGAAAGCTAATCAGTGAAGGCGATAGCTCTGAGGAAAGATGGTCTTCGGCTTCTTGGCAGTCATATCTGTCGAGGTCACTAAACACTGGATTGTCTTGCTCCGCGGTCCCCACCCGAGGAAACAGAAGTTACCAAAGCCACTAAGTTGAATGTTGAGCACTTTCATGAATGGTTACCGAGTCAGAGTGATCGCCCACGCCCTCTGGCATACGAAACACATGACCTACCCAGCGTAACCTGTCGACTGTGACCAGTTAATACATAGGCGGAAGAGTAAACTTTCCCGAAAAGCATCTGGTATACCTCAACATTACTGATTCGGTGTTCCAACAGACTGGGATCAAACACACAGAGCCTTCGGTCTTCCACAAGCAGCAGCCACATCTCTGACCCACAAAGTAGGACAGATCGGGTAGCAGCATTGTACACTCTACCCTTGACATTCAAGTTGATATCACGTCGGCGTCACAAATGTCGGGGGGTTTTAAACGCTGTTCTTGCCTCCCAAAGTTGGAAATGGATTTTGTCTTTCGCCAGATCTCCGGGATATTGCAGCCGCACTACACCAATCGGTTCACCTGCAGGCATGAGGTTCGGGTTTTATCTCATCCAACTTTGCAGCAGCACTTTACACTTCACACGTGTGAAGTACAAACCGAACCGCACAGAAGAATTATTTAGGTTATCTAAAGTAGTTTGTATTTTCAAAGGGAGAGATATCTCATCCCCTAATGTCTGTGAGCGAACGCCCAAGGAATATTTCGATCCCCGAGGTGTCAGAGGCAGGTAAATAAGGTTCAATAAGCACACCAATCACGAAGCTACAAGGAAACAGTGATAGATGACACTTGTTTGAAACCACTGGATGTGGTGAAATCGGAAGATGATTTGCCGCACACACCTACGCGTCCATGAGAGGAGGCATACCGAGCCTTTATAAGGGAACTTCGAATGGCCCCCCCCCCCATAGCGAGCTGTACCCAATAATTACTCACCTTGTTGACGATTTTCCAACTTCTATCAAGGCTGGTTAAAAAATCCTAGCACATTTAAGTTTGCCGTTGCGTTAGCCAGGATTGAATGAAACAAACTGAGTCCAAAACTCGTCCTCTTTTAGTTAACCTTGTGTATGTTGTCTCTTTATGCCCTATTAACTCACCGACTGGTGCTAAGCGCCAATTGACAAAGTTAGATTACAAAGCAGCCGATTTGGCATGCGCGATTGTGATGTCCTTCCGCACAACTTCTAGGATGAGCACACAAAAAACTTCCAAAATGACAAAAGGTAAGGGAGAGAAAACGTGTTAGCTGAACAACCATGCTCCCATTAATCAGTGCAATTCTGCAGCTTGATGTGCAGATGACGGAATAACGATAAATCAGAAGAATATACCGTGCATAGACAAAACGAAGTAACAACATTCCAAAAGTGATACATTCAAATGTTTATACACAAGTCTATTTAGTAAATCAGTCAACAGAATGAAAAAAAATTTCAACGAGACTGATGACCTTTATGGACGACCGAAGAATGAATGAATCAAGTCCGTATACAGTTGTGAAAGCGTTTCAGTCTTGATCATGACCAAGAAAACTGAAGGGAACTTTGAGAGAAAACCACCTTGGAAAGTCACACGGGTGTTCATCTCTTCAAACATTTTTACTGTCTCTCTGATTTGAAAAAATGGACTTCAATGAAGACTAATACAAAACACTGATTCGATCAATACATAGGACGATAAATCCACTGAGAACGGCGTCTGGACGTAAGTTCCAGAACACCATTCAAAAATGACATCCTTTCGGTATATCAAAAAAATCGTTCGGGTTCTAACTGCCACGCCACCAGAAGAAAGCACGAGGGCTTGGATACCGCCAGGTTGTCCAAGTCGGGGGTCGGCTTCGAACCACGGACCCTACATCGGTAAATTCGCGCTCTAACCACTGAGCTACCTCGCCTTTCGGTATATTAGAGGTGAGAAGTCACTAATTAATTCAAGCGCAGCCAGGAGTAAATATAAAGTTTAGGGTCGGAACAGCGGATCTTACGGAGCTTCTACCCTACCCGCAAACCATCCCAAATGGGTGTTAGTGAGTCGTGTCCTGCTTTACGCCCAGAACGTTGGAATCGCCATATTCACATCAAGAAAAACTGTCTCACATAAATATGGACTTACTCTGTTAACTCGTAATCGGCCCCACGAATGAAGTGCAGTCGTTCCAGAGGTACATTCACCGACTTAAGCATGCCCTTGATGACAGCCTCGTAGTACTGTGTCCGGTAGCGCAGCAAGGACCAGGGGGCCTTCATGTTATCTAGATATGCATGCAAATCTGCGAACAAAATTATCACCCTGCACCCAGCGTGCAAAAAATCCGCTAGCTTGATGATGGGGACGAAATACGCAACATGTGGTCTCCCGGTAGTTGCAGTTCCCCAGTACACGGCCAAAGGGGAGTCACGAGTGACCAGGTTCCGCAATTCCTCGTCACCGACTACCTCCTGTTGGTGAACAAAAAAAGCGGGGAGATGAGGTAGCTGGTCGCTGAAGCAGTGGGAGTCGTTGGATCAAACTGAAAAACTGTCATTCGGAAGTAAAACTAGAGGCAACCAACCGCGAAAGATGTGCGGAATTTCAGCACTTACCGCAAAAAAGCGGTACCCATTCAAGAAAATCAATCATTCTGGAGTCTTATTTCAATCATATATCCCTGAGAAAACAGCTCTCCAAGCCCTACAGCTGTGACATTTTTCGACAGGCCAAGGGAAAAAGGGATGAGAAATATGTCATCCCAGGATTTCAGATAGTTGAAACTACACAAGCACGGTGATGTATGGCCACGAGAAATACATCTAGCAGTTCTGCACTTCACGCATCATTATCATCAGACGTTACACCGCGTACATTTGTTTCGCCGATAATTTGGGGAGGTAGGATGGATAGCTACACATTGCAGGCGATAGCTGGTATAATGATTCGTAAATATATGGGTATCAATGGACTTTTCATTGTGGAAGTTATGAACTGAAGGCAACCACCTGGATACGTGAGCGCAACTGAGCGCGCAACTGGGTCATGTCTGACAATGTCTCTAACCGCTGATGTGTCACGTCTCCGGGTCCTCACCCAGAGAAACGACAATGAACAGCGCAACTGAGTTCCCTGGTAATGTCTTTCATACTTGACTACCAAGTGATTATTTGACCTCCCCTTCGCGTGGCTGTGCGAGACGAGTTCTTCTCTGAAGCCAATCAAGTGGCATGCAGAGCACCTGGCCAACCCACCACAACCTATGGAGTGTGTTCAATTCACCTACCGTCAGTGAGTTATTCATTTCGAAAACCATTCGACGTACTTCGGGAATACTGGCCCGGTCTTCCCACCAAACTCCGACAATGCTCCGAAGGAACTGATTGTCAAATACTGAAAGCATTTTGAGGTCCTAAGCGCGCAACGACCAGGCTTCTGATCCGTATAATAATACAGAGCGCACTGTAGCATTTCAAACTCGACCCATGAAGGGTAAGCCTACGCCACAAGTGATGAGGTCTCACAAAGGCTGCTCTGGTCATCCAAAATCCGGATGGAAATATCATCTTTCGCGAAACCAAAGGAACTGATACAGCTACTCAGATAGACAAACTTGTCTACTACCTCAATCGGCTCATCCGAGAGCACGGAGTTAAGGCTTGATCCCACCCGGTATTGCATCAGCACGCTAAACGGTGAGGTAGAATTATGTAAGTTGTTTAATGCTGTCTGAATTGTAATGACACCAGATCCAGGAAGAGCTATGTCGTCTGCGTCAATGCTGTCTGGATTATAATGACATCAGATCCAAGAAGAGCTATATCGTCTGCGTACTCAATACATACGAGCGAGCACCCTGGGAGCATTTCGACCCCACAGGCATTGGAGGATGGGACCGAATCTTCCATAATCGTGCCACTGGCGAAGTTGGAGAAGACAGGTGAAAGAGGACTGTCTCGTCTGGCATCATGTGATGTGTCACTGTTCCGGAATCCGTCAGAGGGTGAAATATGATTGATGCATGACAGCACCAATCTTTGTTCTCACGGACCTGCCTCTCCGTGTTCAGTCAACTTATGAAGAATAGGACCAGAGAACACCTTCGATTCAACAGCTAGCAGGCTGATGCCACGCTGGTTTTTACTCAGCGTTCACCCACTCTTTTTGAGGATGGGAACAACTGTCAACAGGTCCCTTCATCAGATACATCCATCACACCATATCGCACCAATATACTTTGTTAGATGGGTCACTAGGGTCCCCTCCATCTTTGAACAGGACTGTATATAGACCCTCTGGTCCTGGTACTTCCTCACGTTTTGGTACGGATATTTCGTACTTCATTTCTTCCAACAGGCGAGTGAGGTTTACATTGCATTCACCCGTATGCACTATCTCCAGAGCTCTGTTGCAGGAAGCTAGCTAACCTGTTCATCGAAGTGTTCGATCCATCTTTTCAGTCGACGTTTTTTTTGAGTGAATTTATGAGTCACCTTCTCCACTTATCGTCTCCCTGGCAGTTGCCATCCGATCGTATCAGTTACTATAGAGCACGGCTGTTTCCGGTAGCAGAAGTCTTCTCTATCTACTGGGTTTTGATGTCCACCAAAGCTCTGTCTTTCATTCGGCCCTTCCCCATTTGACGTTTGGTGGGCTTGCGTGCATTGTCGTACTCGTTGCCTGCTGGTATGGATTTCTCGGAATCAATTACGACTAGTGTATGTGGGTTATCTAATGGTCTTGTGGTGGAATCGGCGAGGTCGGACAGACGGCCTCTAGCATTGCCCCTCACATTTTGTTATGCTTCACCCACGTGCTTGCCTACAGTACAATCTTGGTTCACTGCTAAGAGCTGACGAGCCAGCTTAAACCAATACTGTTGAGCTATGGTAGTTCTTCGGAGATGGTGGGACCCCACCTTGAAACTTTGACTGAACGCCTGACAAATTTATTCCCTCATTTCGGGTGGTTGATAGGTGGACTATGTCCTTCTGCCGACTGCTCAGGTTTCAACTCGGAAATAGAAGAAATAATTTTTTGGGTGTTCTCTATGAGCCTTCGTGCTGGTAAACTTACAATACTGTGGTGAGGACGTAAGTGGCAATGCTACCCTATTTTCCCGCTTGTCCTTCATATGAACGGACGTCAATGAACTATAAAAATGAACGCAACGCATGGAGTTTTGGCGAAAGCCTCTATCCTGTGTATCAAACAGTTAATCTGTGAATTCCAGGTTGGGCTCAAGTGTCAACACATATCTCGTTACCCGAGACATCGATAAACGTGGGAACCATCATTTCAATAGGAATAATTCATGATCGATGGGTATGCAAATACAACGAAACCAAGTCAATTACCTGTAAATTTCGTACAATTAGGCCATACTCCTCCCGTTCCATTGACATAAGGAACCCCAGATCCAACACGCCGAGCTTGCTCGAAAAACGCGCCGAAGTGTAGTTCAACTATCAACTATTAAATTCGATGGTCACGTAAGTTTGAAATGGGATATTCCCAAGTTATGGATAGTAGAAGTATTCCAAATTGGCGTTGAATCAACGGAAATCTCCCATAACCAGAGTGCCTTATGGTGAGGCTATCCTTAACATTCGGTGAGGCGTTGCATTATCCGTAGATGAGAGCAACAGCTAATGGGGGTCGTTCATGGTTCACCAGATACTTGACTCCTTCCTCTTCCTCTGAACCGATAAAAATCCCAGTGAAACAAGTCTAAGTTATGGTCAACAGAACAGTTACACAACTCTCACGTTACCATTCATCCTATCTTAGAGCAACCTGCGTCTCCCATAATCATTCACCAAAATACATCAAATCCTCACATAACTGGGCTTTAAAGTAGAATGCAGGAAGAGAACAGAAGTCAACACTACTTCGGTCGCCCACCCTTGACCTTTGCGCCATTTCCTTTGAGCCGTTAAACTCTTTTTTGGCCATTGATCCCGCTTTTGATCGTGTTTCTTAATAACCGCTTCTTCTCGTCCGAGTTTAACTAGTTACTGCGATGATATATTAGGGATTCTCCGTGACCTTCGCGGTCTCCGCCAGTGTTTCGACCGGAGTCCTGCACCAGAGATTTGAACGGGGTTCAACTCTCTTGAGTTCATTTTGCCCCTACTTGCTTACTGATGCATCAGAAAGGCTCTGTGACCTGAAAGCCTTGGCATATTTGGTATTGCGAGTGTGGATAGCACGTCGCTTATTCTCACACTTTACGAACTATGAAATGCAGGGCGATTGTCAACTTAACTTGCTCCGGGAAGCATCAGAACTTTACGCCCAATAATGTGCAACATAATCATGCATTTATTCGTTTGAGGGAACTGATGGGTTGTCCGAACTGTCTGTGTGCACAACAAACTCTGTGGGTGCGTCACCGGCTTATGAGGCGACGCTAAGCAACATCGGATCTTTTAAACTCGAGGGGTCAACTTCCACCTGGTCACTGAATTACGTAGTATGCTATGCTCGTAAACTGCTTGGGCAACATGAGCGGTTAACTCGCCATTTAAGGGACCGTGGATTGAGTAGAGCTTTGGAAGCCGCCTGTTATATCCGCATACACGATAAACAGATATGTTCTAACAGTTCTTTATTGTTGTCACGTTAATGCAAAACTAATAGAGGTGATGTCGCATATTTAGGGGACCGAATGCAGTTGAACATTCTTTTCATATGCCATTCCAGGTTTCGAGCATGAATACAATGGGTTCTGGAGCTGTCATAAATAGGAAACTAGCTATCTGAAATGTGAGACGTCAGGCACACCTCGAAATATGCAGAATGTTTACGCCATGAGATCGGTAGTAATGAATAATCGTTATGGCCAAAGTATTGGTTCAGTTGAAGTCACTAGAAACCCTGTTCATTGCAACATCATCTTTATTACTTTT